GATGTGAGTTTCCGAAGGAGAAGCAAACTGTTTCATGATCACCAAGTGAAGTACTGAGGTGTGGGCACATGACAGAGAGGTAGGGGTACTTTTAAATTGTGCTAGTAGGGCTACTGAACGCAGCGGAAGGAGTGCGGGCTTCTAGACAGAGAAGTGAAAAGTTTGTAAGGTGGCTGTGTTTTTAGATCCTAGAAATATGTTAGAACGACAAAGTCTTGCAAGAAGTCTTATTGAAGTAAGATGAGAAGAATTCATGTACTGTGGTAGAAGTGTACTTGTATATAAGTTGCTCGGAATTGCTAGAATAGATTAAAGTTCAGAGCCTGAGGAGGAAGCAAATAATAGGTTAACACCCTTGAGAGAGATATGGTGATCCTAACAGTTAGGGAAAATTCTGTGTTGGAAAGTAGAGATTAACCCTTCAATCATAAGAGTGATCAGCATTGAATTTCTCCTCACAGAAAAACTGCTAAATCTTTCATTAAGATCATGAGGATAAAGGAAATCATCACCAACCTAAGAAGCTTTGATTGTTTGACAAATTCTCCTCAACAATAGCAGGGGTTTCATTGTTTTCTGCAGGAGGGCAACTGGTTTTCACAGGCAGGCAAAACTCTTTGAACTGAACTTCTTTATAAGATAAACTTTACTCCATATCGTCAAACCAGGTGGGCAAAACCATCCTTACAACCGGTCAATTTGCCCGGTGCCCAGGCCCTTAATGAAACCCCTGCAATAGAAATGAAAATGTACAGACTGAGGCTACTATAGAGAGTATGGATACTGATGTAAGGGAGTAAAGGGTTCAGTCCTGATGGCGCTATTGTGTTGCATCCAAAAACAAGACACAATGTGCTCTGACTCACAGTTCCTCTCCCTGGGGCCCATTTCGCAAAAATCTTGCTAACTTAAAGGGCCAGTAATTCCATGTTTTAAAATCAAAATTTAGAGGATAGGAAAGCGGGTGGAATGGCACCCAAACCAGTCCTTTGTGTTTCCATAGCTGATAGTTTTGTTGTATCTATCACGACAGTTTATTGTCTGGATAAGTCTTAATACTTTTGTCATCTTTTGGCAATCAATATATTGATAGTAAGGTAAGCAGCTGTTTTTTTTTTCTTGAAGCACAGTCATTTGAAACCTTTATGGTGAGATATTTGGTTTGAGGAGTATTCTTCGAGCTTTAAAAGAGATAAATTGTACATTTAGTAATTAAAATAAAGGTTATTCTTTATAATAAGGTATCTTAGCATCTGTTTATACTGCATAGTGTTTTCAGCCACTATCATGATCATTAATATATTTTTCAGGTTTTGGAAGGTGATCGAAAGGTTGATCCACAGGAAGAAGCTAAAATGAACAAAAGGTACTTTTAACTCCAAGAGGTGAATTAAACATAACTTCATACTGTATGATGCAACTCTCCTCAGAAGGCATTCTTTATATGGAAGGAACAATTGTGGAAAAAATCCCTTATAAGTGTCATTTCTGGTAAAAAATGGTAAATTAAGTCAGAACTGGAGCCAAGTGACCCACCCAGTGGGAGATTATCCTGGTTTTCTTAGCATGAAGCAATTAACCAGGAGTATCACTACTCCCTCCTGGATGGGATGCTAGTCCATTTTAAGGTTATCTGCCAGCATTTCATCAGGCTTCCCTGTCAATTCTTCAATACCCAATTATTCTCCCCTCAGTTCTGATAGAGTGCTATATTCTTCATCAACATTGCTAAGCATTCCTCCAAATGAGCACAATAAGAGGAATGTTCATGATGGCATTAATTACCAGGGCTCATGTTAAATTTTCCTTTCAACTGGTAGATGACAGCAGATCAAAGAAGTCCCTCAAAGATTTAAATGAGGAGTTACTTTGTGGTATCTGTCGATCGTGAACTCATGGTATTGGTACACACTTAAATGCCTTGCTCGCACACTTTCTGTTTTGGTTGTATCAGGGACTCTGCAGGCTTTAATTTGGTAAGACGTGTTACAGAACATTTTTGTTTTCAGTTCAAAATTCATCTAAACTGTTTATAAATCCCCAAGAGTGACTAACATCTATTTTCTCCATACAATGTCATCCCAATATCACATGTAAAGGTCAGGAGCATTGAGAAAATGGTCACCAATGAAAGATTAATTAGCTCTTCATTGTTGAACAAATTCTCCTTGTCAGCACTTTAGGAAATGTATAGAAAACATTATGGAGAATATGCATACTGATGTTAGGGTGAAAAAGATGAAAGTAAATCTATTTGGTCATGTCAGATTATTTAACAATACATTATTCTATCACTCAGGGGTAAGAGTAGAANGCCATGTAAAGGTCAGGAGCATTGAGAAAATGGTCACCAATGAAAGATTAATTAGCTCTTCATTGTTGAACAAATTCTCCTTGTCAGCACTTTAGGAAATGTATAGAGAACAGTATGGAGAATATGCATACTGATGTTAGGGTGAAAAAGATGAAAGTAAATCTATTTGGTCATGTCAGATTATTTAACAATACATTATTCTATCACTCAGGGGTAAGAGTAGAATTTTATTTTTATTCAGAATATAAAAATAACCATTGGTTAAACAGAGTCATTCATAAAATCTTAATTGTTTACTTGTTTTGTGAGAGGAAAAGAAGCCTGAGGCAGAGTTTTTGTGTACTCTTCAGTTGCAAAGGCATGGTATGTGAACTGTCCTTTTGGTGCTTAAATTGAGCTGCTAATCAATGACATTTGAGAATTTTATTAGGGACCATAAAATATTAATTTTTTTTTCTTGTTTCTTCTAAGTCATTCCAAAGACTGTCCAAATTGTAGAGCAAAGGCTCAACTCTCATCTGCTATACCAGCTGTGAAGGTGAGATAACAGTTAAAGGGGTGATCAGAATAGAACCCTGAGGTTATTTTTATGATAGAACACCAACTCTCTCCATTTTTTGTCAGGCAATACAAGGCAATTTGGAAGGAGAATCTTCTAGTCTGTCATAAGTCACTTAGGGGTTTTTTCTTTCCAGCTCTTTAATTTGCTTGCCCAGTTAGTGAAAGTTTAAGTGAATTGTATCCTGTAAGACATTCCTACAATTAGCGTCAATGTTTCAACAAAATAATTTTAACATCGCAGAATAGGCCTACATTTTTTAAAACACTGTTTCAGAGTGTATGCTTTTCTGTCAAGACTAGTCTGCTTCTGGTCTTAAGTAGATTCTGTATGAGTTTAACATGGTTATTTTGGGCCCTAATCTTTAATTAAGCTGTGCTGCAAACCTACTCAATGACTCAATTCTTAATATATTCTCATGTAAAAAGTATTTTTTTCATTTCCTTGACATGTACAGTATTTTGCAAGAAACAAGAATGTAGTTGATATGACAGTGGGTAATTAAGTGTTAAGCTTTCTGTTTGATCTTCCAAGTGCTAGACATTAATACACTAAACATTAAATTGCAGAAGAAGTTCTTTCTCCAGGAGAACTTGAAGAAAGGCAACTTAAAATTCAGGTAAGCAGGGATTTGAAACAAAAACCTTCAATTTTTTCTTGTCTAGGTTAAGGTTTTTTTGGTGAACTGAAACATATCTATCTTGGAGCATTTTGTTTTGTCTCTAACAAGAGTGAAACAAATAATTAACAAATAATTATTTATTACATGACTCAGGTAGTCAGAGGGCTAATAGCTAAAATCAACCAATCAAAATGCTCTATTGCCGGTCCAGTATTCTCTAAGTATTGGACCGCGCACTGTCCCAAATGGTCCCGAATGATACCGCACTTGTGTCCCTTTGAACCTCAGTCGTATAATAAATCTCTCATTAACCAAGCTTGCTCGGGACTGTACTGGAAGAATATCAGCCCTCGGTCCATACTGTTAAGACCTCAGGCCAATACTCTCCCAGTACAGCCCTTGCGCTTGGTTGCATAGATGTATATATTCACCTCATTGGAGATGAACAAAGGTGAATATTCACCTTGCCACTTTGTGGCTCAGTTAATATCTACTACCATTCGTCAACACTGAGGTGAATAACTTTTTTGATATACACCTAACAGAAATAAAACAAATAGTTTATTTCTGTCAAATTCAATATAACAAAAAATTGGT